ACCAAATAGAAAATGGAGTTGGAGTCTGAATTATAATCAAGTTAAATTACCTTGGAAGGCATTTGACTTTTAAGAATAGAACTTCGCAGCACTGTTGTTCCTTCCAAAACAATCAAACTCGTGTAATCCTTCCTCAATTCTGTAACCTGCAAAAATTTGATATCAAGATATATATATATATATATATATATATATATATTAACAAGATTTAACATTTTAAGCTCAAAGAGGAGAATGCTGCTAATCAATCGCAGGGGGAAACCATGCTGAATTTGCAGAGGGACGCACACAAAACACATCGTCGTCAAAGTTTGAGGAGAATGAAGCTCTCGGGAACAAATCTGATTGGGAGGATGCAGTAAGATGGGCTAAACCTTTATCTGGTGATCATTGTGTGATAATTGAAAGTGGCTGGCTCATGAATCCCAAAATTGTAGGAGAAAAGAAAATAAGAAGCAGGCTCATATTGGTTTTCAGGAAAAAGTACGGAGACCTAAACAAAATCAAGATAAGGAAGGTACTAAGGTACCAAAAGAAAAGTTGGAGTGTATCACTATGAGAACAAAGCAGAGATACAAGGATATCAGGAAGAGGGATTACAGGGGTTCTGAATTCGTAGATGCAATAATAAAACCTAATTTTAGAATTCTTTGTGACGGTGCAAAATGAATAGACTTTGTAAGCCCAAGAAAGAGGCATAAGAGAATTAGAGAGAAGTGCCCAACATAGGGCTAAATTCCTTTTGAAGTTCAGAACACCCTATGTAATAATAATACATAGGCCTACTGTCAGTTATAAAGGCGTGCCTAATGTGAATTACATATGCCTTGAAATTCAGATGTGGCAAACTTTAGGCGGAATAATTTCATTTTCGTTGTGATTCACAATTGAGACAATTATAAACTGGAGAAGCAATCAAGAGGAAGGAGACGCACCAGAAAGATACATAAGAGAATTAGAGAGAAGAATTACCTGGATAAAGTGAAGGAGAACAAATTCTTGGAGAAACAGGAGGGCTCGAATTATTTATTAATAAGGCGAGGAGGCCTTGGATGGGTGGGCGGTGGGAGAGATCGTGGGGCGGTGGCGGTGAAGGAAAATGAAAGTAG